GGGGAAGACGACCACTACCCTCCAAATACTATCTCTCCACCTAAAACGAATGCTTTCAGATACAAGAAACAACAAACTGGAAAACATATATATATAGCTACATACAACACACTATCACTCAGGACCGAAGAAAGCCTACAAGAACTTCTACATTCTTTGCGAGATATAAAATGGGACATAATCGGCTTAAGCGAAGTAAGAAGATATGGCGAAGCTATTGAGGAACATGATAACTTTATATTATACCATAAAGGCGAAACACCAGGGCGTCATGGAGTAGGATTCTTGATAAAGAAAACACTCAAAAATTCAATTTCGGAAATAATTGGCATATCAGAAAGAATAGCCATTTTGAGCATGGAGATACCCCCTGGCAAGGAAGTATGGTCTATAGTGCAAGTATACTCACCAACCGAACAATCAACGAAATCAGAAATTGAGTCATTCTACGTCTCCTTAAATGATGCCATTAAAGACCATGTACACAAAAACTACATTGTAATGGGAGATTTCAATGCTCAAATTGGACCACCAAGGAATGGAGAAGATATCGTCCTGGGGCCCTACAGTAGCGGCAAAAGAACAAGAAACGGACAAAAATTAATGGAAATGGCATTCGAGAATCACATGAAAATACTAAACAGTCAATTCAAAAAGAGACTATCCAGAAAATGGACCTGGGTATCACCAGATGGCAGATACAAAAATGAAATCGACTACGTGCTAACAAACAGACCAAAGTCATTTGATGACTGCGCCACTATCGCAAACTTAAACTTTAATAGTAACCACAGAATGCTTAGAGCACGCCTGAACACATCATCTGTCCTAAAATCAAGTCGACCCTTCAAAGCGAAAACCACAATACTAGGCAACAATGCTACAATAGTCACTATACAAGAGAATCTCCGCTCGATGTCACAATCATGCCTTGAGCATTTAAACACTCAAGAGAAATACAATATAATAAACGAAATGTTAACAGCAAAACCTAATACCAACCAAAGCGAATCAAAGAATAAAAGCCACATATCTGAAAAAACCCACGATCTCCTACAAAAGAGATCAAAACTAATACGCACAACAAACAAAACAAAAACTATTAGAGAACAAATTGGCAAACTGAGCAAAGAAATAAAGCTACAAATGAGAAAAGATAGAGAACATTCGAGACTTAACACTCTGGAAAAACATATTAAAAGGACTGGCGGTATAAAGAAGGCCCTTAAAATCCTAACGGGTAAAACCAACTGGATACCTAATATGAAAGACCAACACTGTAAAACAAAAACCAAAAGAACAGAAATCCTATCAATAGCCACAAATTTCTACAAAAACCTATACTCCAGCAAGAGCCAAATAATAAATACAGACCTAAACAACTACGACAAGGTACCACCCATACTAGTAGAAGAAATACACAAAGCAATAATTACACAGAAGAACGACAAAGCCCCGGGTCCCGATGGTATCACGAACGAACTGCTTTTAGGCTGTAGAAACTGGATTGCACCGTTACTAAAATATGTTTTCAACGATATTATAGACACAGAAACAATTCCGACGCAGTGGACTACATCAACAATTATTCTCCTTCACAAAAAGGGGGAAAAGTCAGAAATAAATAACTACAGACCCATTAGTCTAATGTCTAACATTTATAAAATCTTTTCAAAAGTAATTTTAAGTCGTATAACAAAAACTTTAGACGACAACCAACCTCGGGAACAAGCTGGGTTTAGGGCAGGCTATTCAACACTGGACCATATACATGCTGTGAGACAAATATTCGAGAAGAACAAGGAATTCAAAGTACCGTTCTATTGTTGTTTCATCGACTACAACAAGGCATTTGATTCAATCGAACATGAGTACATCTGGACTTGCCTTAAGAACCAAGGAGTCGAACAAAAGTACATCAGAATAATAAAAAACATATACGCAAACAGCACAGCGAAAATAAAATTGGAAAAAGAAGGAAAAGAAATAAAAATAAATAGAGGCGTAAGACAAGGAGATCCGTTATCGCCAAAATTGTTCACAGCTGTTTTAGAAGGCATTTTTCGAAAACTAAATTGGAATCAGTACGGCATAAACATAAACGGAGAAAAACTGTCCCACTTACGATTTGCTGATGACATTGTGTTATTCGCTGAAACAAAAGACCATATACAAAAAATGCTCATAGATCTGGAAAAAGAAAGCAGCGTGGTAGGGCTGACAATGAATACATCGAAAACCAAAGCACTAACGAATGCATTGGAGGACCCAATTATCATAAATGGAGAACTGATCGAGTATGTGACAGAATACACCTATCTAGGCCAACAAATTTCAAACACCGAAATAATGACGAAGGAAATAGACACAAGAATCGGAAAAGCATGGAATTGTTACTGGCGACTAAAAGAAATTATGAAAAACAAAGAAATTAAGATGTCTGTTAAATCAAAGCTCTACAACACCTGCGTCCTACCAGTTCTAACTTATGGGTGCCAAACCTGGGCTCTCACCAAAGCGCAAAACAAAAAATTAGAAACTTGCCAGTCAGCAATGGAACGAAGCATGCTGAATATACGAAAATCTGACAAAATACGTAACCAAACTATCAGAAATCGTACTAAAATAGAAAACATAACGACCAGAATTCGAAAACTTAAGTGGCAATGGACAGGTCATACGATAAGAGGCTCTGAAAAATGGAACAAAAGCATAGTGTTTTGGTACCCTAGAAATAGAAAAAGAAAACGAGGCAGACAGTTCAGAAGATGGGAAGACGATATAAGAAAAATAGGAGGAAAAACATGGACTAGAACAGCGCTAAACCGAGCAGAGTGGAAAGAGATGGAGGAGGCCTTTGCCAAAGCTGGGCAAACAGACGAAGTTGTCGTTGTCAACGACTCACCAGAGTCACAATTATAAACTATTTTAATGTAAATACTTTGTCTGAATAAAGGCTTATATTATTATTATTATTATGTATGTCTTTACCATTCACGGGACCACAGGGTCCCGGTCATTTGGGAGGCGTACGAGGGGCCGAAGCCAACTGCGCAGAGGCCCTTTAGACAACTATAATATAAATGTAATGGACACACAAACCGGCGACTATCCCTGTATGCACTATGGAAATGCACCCAAGGACAGTCCCCGGTTAGTGTAGGACTATTGTGAATAATGGAAAAAAAAGGTAGGGCTATGGATGGGTTGTTGTGGACTGGTAAATTGGGAACTATGGATGACTATGACACCTGCCGAAACAATGTAATTTTTACACGTAAAAATGGCAGGCGGAGACTCGCCAACTCACCGACCGGGCCCCGGGAATGGTTGCTAGATATAGCAACAGAGGGGCAACGAGAATGTGAGTGGCTGAAGGGTTAAGAAACTACCACCGCTTTCTACTCAGATCATCTGCTCCAGCCGAAGCCTCCTGCATCCCTGGCCCACTCGCGACTTACGAATAGTTTCTTACCCTCCGAGCAGGTTCACTGCTCTCGCGACTCCACTCTGGACGGCCAATGAAGGCAAGCCAGAGGTGGGAGACCTGTTCCTTGTCATCTTTCACTCCAGCCAGCCAATTAAGGCAAGCCGGAGAAGAAGGAACGGTGACTTCTCCCTGGAGCACTCGGGATGATGGTAGCCCGCGGGATCGCTAATGCCCGTCACCTCGCCTCAAGGTGCCCTGCGGGCTTTATTATTATTATTATTATTATTTTGTGTTCCGATTTTAATCACGTCACCGATTATGTATTTTAAACAAGTTATATAATTGTCTTGTACAACTGCTTGGCTAATGACAACCTCATTTCACTACAACACTACTCATCTTTTATTTACCTTACTACCTCCGATTAAATATTCTCTCCATGATTTTTTGTAGTTTCTATTTGGATTCATTCTTGCCGCCATTGCATAATTAAATCATTCAGTTATCAAACATCAACTTAACCTCTTTTAATAGGATTATTACTTAGTCTTAATAACGGATACATAACAAGAGAACAGCAGATGAACCTACTCCTTTCTGTCACTTACATTTTCAACTTCTATGTTTTGATATTAAGTCGAAAATGCAATGAAAACATCGTCTGTGCTTACCTTTGCAGACTGACTCGCATACATTGCAAACTAAATACATCCAACTATCCTTTGTACTAGCTAAACGAGCCATAAATAAGCAACAGCACTAGCAGAGTCGCACAATTAATGTACTTGCAATATTACCTGTGTTATACCAACATTGCCCATGCTCACAATCATAACTAATAGTTTATCTTAATTGACAACTACTACACTATTAGCATTGATAAAACTACTACTTAGTTGTACATTTCCTCTATCAATTTCAAATTGAAAATAAACTTTTACTTCATTAATTCATCTCAGTTTAAACAAACTTCGTTCAAGGTGTTAAATAAGCATAATTAATTATCATTTAATGTGGTCGGTCATCCCTCGTTAATTACTTAAAAGAAAGTTTTAACCATAATTCGTTCATAAAGGCTTTATTTTACCTTAGTTGTTATGTAAAATATAATTCCGTAACGGTAGTTCAGTATGATAATGCCTAATTGTAATAAGAAAGTCTGATTTGTTTAGTCATCAAGGCGTGACAATGCAATTACGAAATATAAAAATGATAATACCACTTGTAACAGACCTACATGTTTAAAGAGAACCTTGTTAAAGGAAGTCCTAGACTTAAATTACTTTTCACAACATTTCATAGTAAGAACTTTCAACAAGACTATGATTTAATTAATCGAACGACAAAATCGAAGTGGGTGTCCGACGTCCATTACAAACTTCCTTCAGCCCATAAAGGAAGCGTCTGTCTCCTCGCATTAATCACGGCTTTTATTGGAACTTTCAATGAGACGTTTTCTTGCTGCGATAAAAGCGAAAGAGGATTAGTTTCGAATAGAAACTCAAGTCATAACTTACTGGACATTTATTGAATCTCCACGTATTCAATCAATTCTTTTCATTTGTTACAGAGGCGTATTTCCATGGAAAAGCAATTCTTCGAAAAACCACGACTCTCCATCTTCTGTGGTGTCATGGCGTCTCTTTGGAAGCAAGTCTAGTGGGAATTTGGCAGCGAAGACTATAAATTCGGAAGCTCAGAAGACTTTGACTCCAGCGTCGTCTGTAGCGAATACCCCTCATCATCATAAGAGGCAAGGGAGTTCTGCCAGCGAGAAACAGTTTGAAGATTTGGTCGCCAGTTCTATAGCTCTTATACAGCATGACAGGTTAGTTAATTTTGATACTTAGTACTTAAGTAATATGATTCACGAAACATAAACTTTGTGAAAATTTTGAACAACCAACGGAAAGAACACAGACATAATAAAGTAAGAAATTGTCTGTCGTAACAATGTAGTACAGTTGACCTGACAACTGTTTACTTACGCGTAGGCCGTATCACACCGTCTGATGACGTCTCCAGCTCGTAAATGTTATTGTTTTGTCCCAATTACACGGAAAATGACTGCTTAGCCGTAGTATCATATGCGTGTACTAGTTCACTTGAATACTATATACTATGTGGATGTATTTTGAATTCTTGGTCATTTAGAGGTACATTGACAATTCATCCTGAATTCGAATAGTTCTAGCATAATTAATCAAAGTTCAAAAGACGCATGAACTCATCAGCCTGATGAACCCAAGCTTTCTTCATAAAGTTCAAAGTAATTTTTAATTCATCAACATTGTGCTACTTATCTACTACCGGGTTATGGCCCTTTGCCTACTTATAAACTTGATAAAGGTCCAAACCGTGTATTTATAGTTTATGGTTACGGTGTTCGGAATTTTGGTATCAATTAAGTTCGGATCTAGTGAAGGTTCAACAAGGAGGTCTAGTTTCAAGCCATTGACTTTGAATTGAACATTACCTTTTGTCTACCAGGATCATCGTACTCATAGTTCTTTCTTTCTCCTTCAAATGTGCTGATAAGATATCAATAAACAAGTGTCTTTATTAATAATGCTGAGCGCTATGCCGAGTGTTGTATATAATACGAAACATTGATAACGTCTTTCATGATTTTATAGTCAAGACATTGAATCTTTGCGGTCAAGTCCTATCTCCAGATTTATCAATATAAAGTTCACTGCATCACATTCAGTGATTTCGTTCAACCATTTCCAGTTTGCGGATTTGGATAAAAGGCCATACAAATTGTTGTGGCTATCCATAACTCCATTACAATAGGCGCCGCTAGTCGGTGACATTTCCGAGGTTACACACAGGTGCTATTTGACCGACATTGCTTGTCCCAATAAACTGTTTTCACGTTTTCGCGTCACGGTTCGCCGAAACTGTTGGCTAATTAACATTCGCACTGAATTTCTGAAATATCTAACTTAGGCCTTCATTTTATAAAACAGCAATTTCTCCAAAACTCTTGAGTAGAGCATTGAAGCTTTATTATAAAAATTATGATTAGGATTCATTTGTGTGACTGTAATTACATTGCCGGCTCCAAAAAGAACTCTGTAATGTGGTTCTTTTGTATTAATGTACTCAATTATATTTGTCATTATTTCAAATTAGTTACTTTTCTCGTCTCATAATTTGGTCCTTTTGTACGCTCTTAATTATATCAAATTTTCGTGCACGCCTCTGTAAACGAAAACCTTTATTAGCGCTTAATTTTTACCTCTACTTTCTTTAGTACTTTTAGTCATAAAGAAACCTTTTTGATTGCTATCGTGATTGATGCTAATGCCTAAATAAAAACTGCGTGTGTGGGTGCGTCGACATGCTCCAATAGTATTCGACCCACCTTTCCTGTGCGTGCCAGGATATGCTAATCCCCCGAATTATGATGCCATAATGGCGGACCTGCTAAATTCCTACACGGTTCAACATATTATTTAGTTCTGTCGTCTGATAGAGATAGTCCTTTGTCGGCGCATAGTGAAAATAAGTTTCAATTTATTGTTTAGTTTGCCTTTATTAATATAATACATATTATATCTTATACTTACTATTATACATATAAAGCTGAAGAGTTTGTTTGTTTGAACGCCTTAATCTCAGGAACTACTGGACCGATTTGAAAAATTGTTTTTGTATTGGATAATCCATTTATCGAGAAATGTTAGGTTAAAAGGTTAAGATAAATCATCACGCCATGCCCAATAAGAGCCGAGCAACCGCGTGGGAGCAGCCATATCATCATAAGGAAAATATGCTCTGCTGAACAAAGGTCTCCTCCTTAGCCCTTGGTTCCTTATATTTTTCAATGACCCAAGCATTGACGTGTGTCGCGGAGAACCTAACGGGTTACTGGGGCTCCGGCTCGAAGTGCAGGAGTAGGAACGGGGTGTAAGTAAGAGTCTGACACTCCCTCCCACCTCACCCAGGCGGGAAAAGTCATTCGATGATTTTCCCCCTTAAAAAAAAGCATTGACGTGTAACTTGTAATTATGTCTGTGATACGATTGCGTATACTAATGTTGTTGATAAACTATATTAAGTAGATAATCGTTCATTGAATCGTTACAATATACTTGTCTATTTGATATTTGGCAATTCATAATTTTATCATATCCGTTTATGCAATCGTTAATCGTATTAGTAGGTAATCGATTCTTGCACTGGGTTTTACCTAATTGCTAAGAAAGAAATGAAAAAGAATCACATTTGAAGTGACTAACAACTGGTCATATTTTCCTTGTTAATGAAAAAGTCTAAACGTCATAAACGTCTTTATATTGCACGTCAATGCTTAAGGACGGAACCTACGTAAACGATATACCAAATTGACAGGTTAGGTTCATAAAATAAACAAAGACTAATACTTAACATGGCGTCGTGGTGGCCCGGAGGTAAAGACGCCCGCTTCTCATGCATGAGAGTGCGGGTTCGAAACTTAACAACGGCAAATTACAATCAGACGTTTTCCGACTCATTTGTACTTTTTAAGATTATTTAGACACCACTGACAAACGGTGAAGGAAAACATTGTGAGGAGACCTAGACTTATAACTAATTATAAGTTTAAAATCGCCAACCCGCAATGAGCAAGCTTGGTGATTAATGCTTAAACCTTCTCCGTGTGAGAAGAGGCTTTGCTCAGCAAATCAGCAAAGCAATCTACAAACAAGATTACTTGACTTTGAAGGCTAATCAGGGAGCCCAATTAGTGTTAATTGAAGCCATTTTGAACACATGTTCATAGTCCACTCAAACCTTTGAGTGCTTCTGTCCTCCTAGTCATATAATACTCATGCCCATGACCCATTAGAAAAATCTATACACAAGTTTAGAGCATTGACACTTGTAACAAGATTAGGTGCTTGAGTCGAAGGCCTACTAGCTACTCTGCATTGATAAGAACCTTCCAATGTATCACGCATGAAGCCATTGTTATAAATCGTATTAACACGTGTAAATAGCTTCTGTTTTATTTCATTTTCAAATAATATCGGTCGAAGTAAACGTGACAAAGCCTTTATTACTTTCATAGTTTCTATTGATATAATAAAATGTGAAGCATTTAAGAATTATGGTCTATTAAATCTAGAGAGTTGTGAGTCTTGCGTGGAAGAACTGGTTATGCACGTGTTAGTCTGACCAGTACTAATAATATGATTGATATAACAAAGGGTTCTAAAAATGTGTTCGTCAAATGCATAACAGGATTTTGCCCAAGGTCCATCTAAGGAAGGAAAAAGTTTATACATGGATTGCACATAAATTATCCTTCAAAAGTCCTCATACGATAATCCAATCAATACTACACATAATAAAATAGCATTCAAGTTACCTCCTCAAGCGGATAGACCCATAATAAATCAATATTTAATTGCCGTATTTGAACAAGCATTCCAACCATACCGTGCGTTTGAAAAACACATACCTGCCTGCATTGCAAACTACAGGTGTTATTGAGTGACTCAGAAGTATAAACGGGAAATACCTAAAAGCGTATAGATTTTTGCAAGATCTATTCAGCTTTATCTACAAGTAATCTTCATCAGGGAATGGAAAACAACTTTAGTAAGGAGGGTGATATTATCTTTAGTATAACTATACGTATGAGAAAATTCAATTACCTACGCGGTGTGCCGGTGAATATTACTGCATCGTGGTATGTAGAGATTCTGCCAAAATTCTCAGACAGTTGTTCACTTCAACCATTTTGTCTCAATATATTAAATAACAAAGGACGTGTTTCACGAAACAGCTGCGCGAAATTCTAATTTCCTTTTTATTGCCAATTACACAAGATCTAAAGTTCTGTTTGGCAATCAAAAAGAGCTTTACAAGCTTCCTTGCAGACATTATCCTGGATATAAGCGTAATGCAAACGAAACGCCGAATTAAATTTGAATCTGTTTAGAAGAATGTATGGACATTTTAATATTAATTTTCAATGATCCTAAATATATTCTCCATAGCGTGAGGTTTGACACTATCGTGTTTTATCTATCCACCAACCTCATTACGTGTCCGTGCTTTAGAATTTAAATGGCCAAATTAATATTCACAACACAACGCGAAAATTACCGGATTCACGCAATATCATTGGCACTTGTGCTAAATTTTCATAATATCCTGGGGAATTTGGAACGTTAGCCCTAATACATTAGTCATAAACATATTTGTTTATTACCTGGTCTTCCCCTATGGGTGCAGAGAGGGAATCGATCGATTAATGGCTACGAACGTTACTCAAACACTTGAAACAATAACGCCTACCGTTTATAATATTACAAAATCATGTTCTAACTTGGTATACATTTCAATGTAATTAGTAAGTTTTGCCCTGACTGACGTGGAAAGCCTACACCGGAGCCGTAGTATCTAATTACATTCCTTGTTAGAGCCAACAATAGTCTATAGTTTGAATTTACCCAACATTATTATAGGAAAATAGCAGAGAACAGTTATGGGAGTCGTGCTTGAAGGTAGCTGTTTTACTTTTTCCAAGCACAACAGAGGCACAGAAGCGGAAATACCAGCGTAATGACAGACTTGCCCTCCGCAATTTGCTCGTTCGTGACCGCTCTAGGGCCTGGTGTAATAGCGAACTTTATTTAATCTGTGCTACTCATCACGCTCCGGTTCACGGGACTCGGAATATTTTTCAAGTGCTCTCGAAATATCCCCGCATTCGCAAAGCAATTTTATATTTTTCAATATTCGCTGCTGCTATCGAATTTCTGTTCAGCTTCGGGTTTCAAACGGATTGAAATTTGTAATATCTACACGGTTTTTTCTAGTGTAAAGTATTTCACGTTGTTACTGCGCAATGTTGAGTAAAGAAACCTAACCAACAATTGCCTGTTATTATGATAATTTAGAGAATTGCCCTTTGCTGCACTGTGTCGTCAGATTTACTTAAATAAATGATGGTTTAGAGATCTTGTTTTGGTCTTTGCGGACGATTTTGTTACCTCACAGATAAAAATATTTATAAATGTTATAAATGTTTTTACATTTCATCATTATGGATTTAGCGTATTTATGTAGATTATCCATACGGTGCGTGCGTAGCTTATAAGCCAATACACTTAAGATTTAAATGCATGCATAATGTTACATACTCATACGTACATTAAAATGGCAGACGCTTTTAACGGAATGTGACGATGAATTAAACATTATTCGCAATTCGCTTTCTTAATTCAATGTGGACATTTAAATAAATTATCTTGTCTTTATTTGATTGAATGGCTGCAGAGGTTGTAAAGGTAAAAAAATACAAGGAGCGTGGAACACGCAACTGGTCATGTTTTTATTTTAATTGCAATTTTGTAAGCTGATTATCAAATGAAGATTAGCGTAGCCGTTGTTTAAAGGTTGATTAGGCTTGTAATTTCTAACTCGTTTTTATTCATTCGTGCTTGTCTTCAAAATGCTAATGGCTTTGGTATTTTGGCGTGTAGCTGTGCAAAATTAGGCATGTCCAATTTATATTTCGAAAGGTGCAACCGAAGTTTTTGGAAGAATTCGCTTCCACGCAGAGATAATCAATATGCATCTGCAAATTGCATTAATTAATAATGTTATGTATAACCATCATTTGAAGTTTATAATAGATATGCCCCTGTCTTATTTTCCATTGAAGTAATAACAGCATTATTCAAATGTTATCTCAAGTACCATTATATTTATGAAGGTGGATACGTTTTACGATTGCTTTGTACCGATGAATGTGAAGATACAACTGACATTTTCCAAAGCAATAGTAATTTTTAGGAAAGGCCAAGGCTGAATATTCTTAAAGGAGGTTGCTTTGTTTATTACAAGAAAAGGTTGTAGCGGATTTGAATTTGTAATTTGACATAGTTTGAAGTTTCTTAGAATTGTTTGTGTTTTCGCTGTGGAACGTAGTTTGGTCTTTTGGTCCGAAATTCGGTAAGATTTGTTTCTATAAAAGTTAAATTCTTATCCTTAGATAATAAAATACATGATTGCCGATTTCGATAACCGATAGTAATTCAAAATCTCTGGAACGGTCTTTGTTTTTGATAGAAACACTATAGCACTAATGTCGATCTCAATCTAAAAAATTTGGACGGAGATCATGTTCGACAGATAGAGAGGGGTTAGGAAGAAATACTAGAAACACAATATATTCAACATTCAAGTCACCTGACTTGAATGACTTGTAGATACATACATTCAAAAAACGTATGTAAAACTTCACCGAATTCTGATATTAAACAACAATGTAACTTTACCCGTTCTGGATTCATAAGCGTGCACATTTGATGCGTACATACATAATGTAACACGCAAGCCCTGCACGATAACATTTGAATATTCAATCGCAGCACGATGCACGATGGACCGATCCTTTGTTATCTAATTGTATAATACTGCATAATGAATATAATCATCGATGATTATAATTATAGCTGCAGGGTTTCTAGACTAAGTGTTATTAGCAATCAAGTTTGTTCAGTGTTTTTATACGGATTTACAGATATTTTCGATCTATTTTGGTTTCCTTCAATTTCAGTCCTGTCGAATAGAAAACGCCGGTCTCATTTAGTTTTTTTTTTAAATCGTTGCCCCATACTAGGATTGTCTCCTGTGTCGTGGGTGCATTTACAAACATACAAGTTTACATACACATCACACCCAGACCTGGAACACACAAAGAGTTGTTCCGTGCGGGAATCGAACCAGCTACACGTTACACGGCAGCTAGTTGCCCAGCCACCGCACCAACCGTGCAGTCATCACATTGAAACAGAAAAAATTCTGTATTTTTTGTCGTCGGACCTTTCGATGCATCTGATCAAGATGCATCGAAAGTTGTAATTGTAGGTTTGAATTCCACAAACGATCCATCTTTTTGAGACCGAAGACTTACAAAACTAACTACCACGTTTTTCATTTCCAGGCCATCAAATCTCCCAGCGAAATGTACGGAAGAAGCTCTCAGACATAAAGCTGAACACGCTCGGATGGTGGAAGCAGCGAGGCGGAGAGTGGAACGGGAGGCAGCAGCCAGGCACGCCAGGATGCAGGAGTCGTTGCGGTTGGAGGAGAGGCTCGCCAGACACGCTAAGGAGTGGACACAGAACATACTGCCGGAATGGAATAACACGTGAGTTACTGGATTAATCTTATGAGGATAGAGTTCTAGGTTTAGGCGGTTAGAGAAGTAATAGGAAAGGTTTTTAATGGAAGAGCTTAAACAATTGAATAAGCTTCGACAAAACACATGAGCGGAATTCAAACTACAATTGGGTACTTGCCAATTAGTCGAATTCAATACTTTTATCGAACGAAAGTTTTGAATTTTGTATGAGATTGTATATTGTGACGTCACGTTTTTTTGCGTCAAATAGCATAGATACTTATTTCTTAAAAATTTTGGTGGCAAAATTCTCAAATTAAGTTGGTCATAAAATTAATATTAATGAAAATGTGATTTTTTAATATTTTATTGTATTTTGTTGATTAAAGAAAGTACCCAATTTGGTGGCTGAGCCATACTTCAGTACAAATGGGCCGACGCACTGTCTCTCCAAAAACAACATCTGTGTTGACCAAAAGCAGGAAATGCACTTTAACTTTAACTCCTTTAGTGTTTTATGTTTCCTTGGCCAACATTGACCATTTACGATCAGATGATTCACCTACCCATATGCCCTTTATCATCTGTAAGACCAAAATCATCTTTGTAAGTTTAAAAGAGAAAATGACTTCCTAAAAGTATGCTATAAAGATGGAAACGCACTTGTCGAATATTGCAGACGTAAGCACTTGAAGGCACTAAGGAAACAATAACAGCGTTGGAAGTTCCCCACAAGTGCTCAATTGATGCTTACTTATTATTTTTGTCCAACGATTTATTGAAAAAGGGAGATGAGAGCTCTCATCTCCCCTTACTTTGAACGAAATGAAAATATATTGTATGGCGGTACACGTACTTACAAGTCAGTCCTTTAAGTTTAATACATTTATGTTTTTATAATAACTATCGTGAGACATACTAAATTAATTAAAATCGCGGGTTACTCAAGTGAATTTATTGAGAAAAGCTCAACTAGTTTCGAACCACAGAGTGGTTCTTCCATTAGTTCACTGATTTTAGTTAATTTAATAAACTTATTTCATGTGAAAAGTTAGAAGACTTTTATATTGCACATATCCAATATAAGGTGACAATATTTAGAAGAAGAGCCCGGACGTTCAACTGTAAATACATTGTAGTAGAAATACTACTACAAAATTAAAAAGTATTTGTTTGTACACGTTTCCGAATATTTATCCGATCAGTGCTACTGGCCTTAATTCGTTGATTGCGGTTTACGCGTGAAATACCAATTAAATGCATTAATTACCGATAGTGGTTTACGGAGTAGACATATGACAACATGTCTACTACGTAAACCACTATCCAATCAAAATATTCGCCATTAATTTACAATCATTTAAAGACTATTAAAGTTATTACCGAGATGGTACGAAGCATATTGAAGTAGGTGACAACAGTAATTTACTAAATAGTATTTTAATATAGTATGTGATTAGTAGAGACGATCAAACTCATAACATCACAAACACGAGGTTAAAGGTTAAAAAAACACGTTGAAGACTTAATTCTGTGTATGCAAAATTCAACAGAATTAAATCTTCATTAATACTCGTAGTCAAGACTTAACCAGCCTTCTTCTTTAACAGGAAGAATTCAAAACGCACTCTAGAACTTTGGTGGAGCGGGCTTCCTCCAGCGGTACGCGGCAAAGTATGGCAGCTAGCGATCGAGAACAAACTCAAGATCACACACGACATGTACCAGGACTACGTAGCGAAAGCCAAACAGAGGTTACACGAAGCACAACTCAGGAGAAAGCGGTTAAAAGTCAACAGAAACGACAAATGTAGCTGCCAAAAGGAAAAAGTCAGTGAACAAAAAGAAAAACTTGGCAAATTAGATGATATATTAGCTAAAACTGACGACAGAATAAAACCTGATGAAGACAAACCACGTTTAGGCATACCACGGAATTATAGCGAACAGAATCTCAAGTCTCAAGCTACTGATGCAGGGCCACAGAAGTGCTGTTCGAAATCCAACCCTAATTTGTTAGACTATAGTGACGAATGTTCCATGGAGTTGATACAGTTGGACATTGCGCGGACGTTCCCACATTTGTGTATCTTCCAGCCGGGAGGACCGTACTTCGATGTGTTGCATGAACTGCTGGCGGCGTACGTGTGCTATAGACCTGACATTGGATATGTTCAGGTGTGTATAAACAACTTACTAATATTGACATCTAGATTAAAAAAAACCTAGGTAGATCTATGTTCGTTTTACATATCAGAAAATGTTACCCCTAATAACTTTTGAAAGAAATGGTGTGATGGTGACATTATCATGTCATCATAATAGGGATGATGATAAGGTATGAAAATCAAAAATCTAATTAGTCCGTCAGTTAGGTAATGAAAAAATATTAGACACGTATATTTTTATTTTGTCGTATAATAAAACAATACTTTGATAAAACGAATCAAAGTTTAGGAGTGGGGGCTAAAACGTCATTTCTACGTATAAAATGTACGTAGAAGTGACGTCACGCGACATTCCAAATCAATATATCGTCGAAAGTATTCGTTTGTGTAAGAAAATAAAAAATACGTGTCTAATGGTTTAAAATAATATACCAGACGGACATTAAAATAAAAGTTAGGCATCTACCCCTATTTTAAAATCATAGATTCGCCTTGAATCCAAACCACGTATAGGCCACAGTTTCTGAATAACATGACTATCTTGTGAATAAATTAAGAAAAACTGTCTTTGCTTCGTCTTATTTCTTATAGAGGCTACTTTGTGTTAAATAGTATTGACCATAACGTCACATTATGATGTGCAAAAATCCGTAATAAACACAACAATATAATATTTAACGGTACCTAGCGTGACCCATCGTCCCGCATGCATAGCTAGGTAATGATTACGTGATAACAATGCATGTGATACGCGTGATACTATGTGCGGGTAGCGGGACTTTGTATTATGTTGTGGATCAACTACTGACTGGCTATCTTTGTAATAGACATGTTCTTCTCCATAGGAATCTACACTTCGGAACGAGCAAATAGCTTTACTAGAGGACTGACCTACAGACTGTCATTTTTTCTTATTATTTAATATTTAAATATTTTGTTTTGACGTTCAAAAGTGCCTTCCTGGTCTAATTGAAATAAATGATTTTGACTTTGACTTTGAGACAGGCCAAAATCTGTTGTTTCCTTTGGGGTTTCATGACGTGGTTGAAACTGAGACAGAAAGAAAGAAAAACTGTTTATGACAGCTCAATATATGTAATAGGAAATACCTACATCCGCCCGGTTTCACCCACTTTGCTCGGCTCCTATTGATCGTAGCGTGATATTTTATAGCTTAAAACCTTCCTCCATAAATACACTATCATGCAATAAATGTACACGGTGCAACTTTTACAAATTTTAGTATGTTCGACTACCGTGTGCTGCGGCTAGCGAATTTTAAAAATCTTTGACTGTAGTTTACTTTCTTTTCAAAAATAAAATAAAGTTTTCTTTGAGTTAAATTTTCTATCTTAAGTATTAGAGTACTTCCCCTTCAGGTGGTATTACAAAATTCCACCATGTATAATAGGCTAAGATCTGATAAAAAAACCAACAAACTCAAAACAAAAAATGAGGAATCAATCTGTGGCTTGGGAAAAGCGTTACGAACGAGTGTGGTTTAAAAGGCCGGCTACGCACCTGTGACTCCTCTGGTGTTGTGTTGTACAATAACACAAATTCTGTTTACCCAATTGCAGGGCATGTCATTCATAGCAGCGGTGCTGATCTTGAACATGGAAGCACCGCAAGCATTCGTCTGCTTCGGCAACCTGTTGGACGGACCTGTGCTCAGAGCTGCCTTTACCAGAGACGGAGCTACTATGCAGGTATGTTATCATTATGTTCAAGAGGGTCTTATTCTTTACTAGCAGATCCGGAAAACTTTGTGCCGCTTAAAAATTTCTTTCTCCCCTTTTAAACCTTCTCTGGACTTCCACGAACATTCCAAGACCAATATTAGCCTAATCGGTGCAGCCATTTTCGAGTTTGGCGAGACTAATCAACGGAAATTCATTTTGATGATAGAACATTCAACAACATATAGAAGGATAGAACATTCCTCAATTATGAAATTATGATTTTTCCTATGTCGTGTGTGCGTTTATAAACACATAAATTCTCATCAAACAAATATAGGAAGCAATCGACGCTGCTGTGCGTTACCGGCCTTTTGGGAATTGATAATCTGAGAATTGAGGAGGATTCAGGGATTGGTGGGACTAGGGGAGGGGAGTAATTGGGCATAACCAGTAACCTCACTCACACGACGAAACACAACGCAAGCGTAGTTTCACTATGGTTTTCTGTGAGGCCGTGGTATCACTCCGGTCGATCCGGCGCATTCGTGACAAAACATGGTGTCTTATATGCTGATTCTTTTTAGTAGTATTGGGGAGGTATTGAAATATTTTTAGAAAACATTCCTTATAAAGTGCGATGTATTAAAGTGTTATTCATAATATTCCAGCGACTATGGAAAGCCTACACAACATTACTGCGTCACAATCTACCATCTCTAGCCGACATAGTAGCCCCCGAGTTATATCTCCTGGAATGGCTATACACAGCATTCGCTAAAGCAATGCCACTGGACGCCGCCTGCAGAGTCTGGGACGTCTTCCTACGAGATGGAGACACTTTCCTCTTTAACACTGCTCTTGGTAAGCTAATTTGAATTTTACATAGTAGTTTTTAAGTACAGTATTGGTTAGCTAACATGTAGGTACAGAGTTATACCTCCTCGAAGTTACACGGCCTTTGCTAAAGCAATGTCAATGTATTGATGGTCATTATTTACGTGATATTCATCGGAAGACGCGATCTCCTTCCTAGTATGTTGTTTTATAACTAAAAAACCTACTACTAAATCAGTCGCAAATAGCTTAATCGAAGGGACTGGCTGAATTTAATGAAACTAGGAAACACCAACATCGAGTAGTATGTTCATACTCCACGTTCATACTTAAAGGTTAACTATCAATTAGTTATAACTATCAACTAATTGATTCATTTAAAATTCCAGGCGTCCTCCACCTATACCAAGAAGAGTTAAAAGACATGGACTTCATATCCGCAGCTCAATTTTTAACAAAACTACCAGAAGATTTGGATACAGAAGCCCTTTTCAAGAGCATATCTGCTGTGTCCTTGACCTTGGACGGCATGTCCTTCGAAGAGCTCGCGTCCTGCTGCGAAGTCGACACGAGCCTTGATGATGACGTCACGGTAAGGTTATGATACAAAAGATCATTTGATTTAACACTTCTTAGGGATTTCGTTGATGCTCTATCCTTTAAAGTAGGTTTATAGTCCTGTAAATTGGCAACACTGGAAATATTTTTGTAGTTTTTTTGTTGTTGGCAACATTTTTCTGATCATGTAATTTGTTTTTTTTGACAATATATTGGGTTCTGCTCTCAGGATTTTTGAAATGTTTGTATTAATATATTTTTTTATATTACGATATACGCTAATCGATTGCTTGTGTGTCTTCCCATTTCTGTCATTTTATGATGACAAAAATAGTTCAAAGATTCATCTTAAAGTTGAATAGTGTATTATACTTAGTTACAGTTACCTACAAAACTTAACTGTTTGATTCTAATTTAATTCTATTGCATAAATGTATAAAAATATTTTCAGTGTTGGAAGAATAATTCTTGCTCATCGGCATAAAGTGGTGTTTAAGAAAACGAAGAGCTAAATATCATCTCGTAATAAACATTTAATTTAATTTCGTAGCGATTTTTCATGGATTTATTATATTTAAAAATAAAATAAAATCGTGTTGTACTGTGACGTGTCATTATTTATAAACTTTCGTTTTTATAAGTTATTTCTATAATTTCCAACTGTAAATAAAATTAGATATTATTTTAATTAATTACAATTTTTTTATAATTTAATATTTTGAATGATTTATGTGAAATATTCGAATTTATACATATTAAAACACGCGACTGGCCGTGAAAGTCAAATCTCATACAAGATTTAAAACAATCAAGTAATGAGACTTAGTACCTCGTCTCCGAATTCATTCGATATAACACGATATTCTGTGATTATATAAATAATTAATTGAATTTAAATAATATTAATAGCTTACATAAACTTTTCGAGTATACTCAACCAATTTCAAACCACATCGGAGCTCATAACAGCACAGCTCGTAACCAGTCGAGAATGCTCGATGACTTTAAATTACATGCGCAAGCTGTTAATATTACTTAAACTTAGTATGTCTCATGATAATTAATATAAAAGAAAAATAACATAAAATTCAATGTAAATAAGACCGGGGCGTGTAACGAACATATCATATTGTATGTTAGTTCTAATTAGTCACTTGAAGTTCTGATCTTGTGGTTGTGGGACTTTAGATGAGTAATTATACAAAAGAAAGACTATATTTTGCTGATAGACATTATCTATGTGAAGATAGACATAGCAGACAACACATTTATTATATGTAAGTATGTCGCGGAGAACCTAACGGGTAACCGGGGCTCCGGCTCGACGTGCAGGAGAAGGAACGGGGTGGTTTTTAGTCAGTAAGAGTATGACACTCCCTTCCGCCTCACCCAGGCGGGAGCAGTGATTCGATGATTTTCCCCCCTTAAAAAAAATAAATTATATTTAAGTATGTCTTTCTATGTCTATAGTAGACATATTTATATATATGTTGCCTACTATTATCGTTAGACTTTGTTTAACACAGTCATATTAAAAGGATTAACGATTGGACAAAAGAATAAACGAAATGTGCATTAAGGATTAACGACTTTGAACCTTATTTGGTTATAAGTCGTTAAGTACCTATGCAGTTTCTTTATAGCATTGTCTGACAAGAAACTCAGAATGCTCACAGGTAATGTGTTAAGCAATCTCTATTTAACTTAAATATACTCTATCAGCAAATAAAGCGCAATTCTAAGATTATTTTTCGTATCTGCGACAGTTTTACATCATTTTTATTATTGTTAATAATATAAAAATAAATAAATGTTGCAAATATGATCTTGATATTACCGCTGCGACTGCACGCGCCCAAAGTTATGCAACACACCCAATTTGGAATAGATTCTAGTGAAATCCTTTTGTTTAAAATATTTTTGGTCATATTTCGTTTGTTATAAGCGCGTGTAGTCGTAGCTTTATCCATTCTAGTACCTGTTTCTTTGATCTAGAATTATCTAAGTACTAAACTTAAACCAGTTTTATTCCAACCAAAACTAGTATAACAACCTATAGGCAATATAAAAATTCGGGTCAGCTAAGTCGTGAATCTCTTTAATGGATTTTCAACCTTATACTATTGAAATAGAGTTGAAAACCTCTTAACCCGTCGTGTGTCTAATATATTGTGTCTACAGGCATTCAAACGGTTAATAGACTTACTGAAATATTGTGACTTAAAAGATTTTCGACCTTATATATTAGTAAATAAAATTGAAAATCTATTAAAGGACTTTTAGACTTAGTTACCAATTGAATTCAGTAGTCATCGTTAAAACTTCTAGCCCGAATAGGTACCGATGTTTAAAAATGTCTCTTACGAACACTCTGTAGCTAAAAAAGTAAATGTTTTAAGAACAAGACTGTGTACTATTCGATATTCGTAATTATTCTCATTAAAACAAAATTCTTTGAATTAATTCGTCTTGTTTAATTTTACAAAATTAAAATCAAATAAAAATTTAAATTTCTCTAAATATCTTGTTGATAGAAAAGGATGTTATTGAAGTATTTATAATTTATATATATATATAAATATTGTATAACTTTATATATTATAATTATTATGTAACATAACTTATTGTTGTTTAGATATAATAAAATTATTGTAACTGTAAATGGAACTACGCGTATTCAAGCAATACGATATCACATATTTTCTATGTGATATATTGTAGGTTCGTAGATTTATAAATATTTTTAATATAAATTGTCTTCTAATAATATTACCCCGTTGATACTTGAAACTTATCCATAAAAATGTTAAATTGGTAAATAATAAAGCAAGTCATTTATAGACGTCACAATTAAATTCGAAATGTCTTATTTGCCAAGCCTTTGAGAATAATATAGTAAAAGAGTTGACCATTTATAGTTTTGACTAATACAAACAAATTCAAGTGCAATAAATTTTCAATTAAATATTTCAATTATCAAACGAATATAAAATTTAATTGTATATAAAATAAATAATAACTATTAATTATAATTACTATGATAGTGTATGTCAATTATATCTTATCTTAATAAGTTGATATTGTAGTGGCGGGTGGGTGAAATAATTTCTTGTTTTCATTATGGATTTTGTTTATACTGTAATTTCATAATTGCAAAAACATTAAGTTCGTTTATAATACAAATTATTATCTACTTACAATACTTTCATAATAAATTAATTTGGTTACTAAAAATTGCGAGTTATCCTTGTAAATATCCAGATAAAAGCTCTAATGTAGGTTGCGCGACATCGCTGCGACCGCGCACGCTGCTCATGAGGAAGAATCCCTCTGGAACTCGACACTAATAGAGCGTTTCCAATATATTTACGCGAGTAACTCGTAATATTTAGTTAATTCAGTATGTCTCACGATAGTTATTATAAAAACAATTAAGTTGTACGTATTATAACTGTTCAACGACGTAATTCAACTGGTGAGAGTTGTCGCGCATAATGCTTATGATTATAGACTTCGGGCATAGTTTGAAACTGATCGAGTAACCTTGATAAACAGTTATGTGAGGAAGCCGTACAATTAATTTAATTCCATAATCTCACGATACTTATGATAATGATTTAATTATTTTTCTGCTTACCACTACAATATTAGACTACTTTAACATATTATTACTAAACTATTATCTATGAATAACAAACAACGAGTAGTAAACCGGCCTAATAGTTAGTAAACAAGTATCGAAACATTCGAGAAATTATATCTAATATTATATTATATTAATTGTTATTACTGACTGCCTCGCCACTCGAGGTCGGCCAAAGTATAATTAAGTTGTACGATTTTCGAAAATCTCAGTAAATAGCAAGTAAAATGTCAATAGTCTCGCCCCCTATTACAAGGGATTTTAAAATAACAGGCGAAAATGGGTGTTACTGTTAGTATTAAATAATTGTATATGGAAAAAAGGGATACATGAATATGGCTTCAAGATATAAAATTAGTTTTTTATGATCTACTGATTTATTATGTCAGTCGTATAGATAACTATATATAGGGTAGATATATAGTGCAGTCATGTTGGCATTTATACTGTTTATATCAAGTCATAGCAGAAAATAAACTATACTTAAATGTAAATAGTCTCATATGACAATGCTTCTGCAATTTGAAAGTATTATCAGGAAAATATAATTTTTTAAAGTAATTTTTCAATTTTTTATTATATTTTTTTTGAGAATGATTTTTCTAAACAATACATATTGTGTGTATTTAGTAAAAATTAAAAATCTGCTAAAATTCTTTAAACATGAATATGCAATGATCGTTTTATAAATTATATGTATAATATCTGTTTTATATATCTTTATAATATAGTTAAATGCAAATATGGCATATATAAATGTTATATATAAATGATTAGTTATGAAACTTTTTTAAAATGTGTATTGTAGATTTGTCTTGCCACGTGAATATAAATAAAATTAGTCGTAAACGTGTAAATAAAAAAATGTATAATATTATAAAATGATTCAGTGTTTTTTATATTTATTTTTGTTTGATATTGTATAAATGTGATGCTATATCTAATGAACGTAAAATATAGTAGGTATAGATAAGATATATGATTTAATAATAATTATAATGTCTTTAATGTTACTTTTTATATATATATTTATTTGTAATATATGATATTTGTGTGAACAACAATAATATTTATTCATATAAAAAAAAACAATGTAACATCCTTTTCTATCAATTCACAAATTCAAGAATCTCGCTAAAAACTTTGAGATAAATACTAAATACCTTTTAATAAAGAAATGAATCTTTTTGTATCAGATTTGATTAAATTGTAGGTAATTTAATAATTTAAAAATATCAATCATAATTTTAAATTAACGTTGACATACTCTAGTATTGTTTATTGCAGTTTCGCTATGTCAAGAATTGCCAAAATGTTATTGTTCTGTCTTTCCTCTATGAAAATATTGCTTGTAATATAACTAGCTATCTTATTAAAAATAATTAAATAAATACTACTAGAGTATGTCTTCATTATTTGTGTGAGTCGACAATGGTTTGTGGCTAGAGTTTTACATTGAAATATCTATTTGTTAAACTTAATTTTTATATTTCATTCAAACTACATACTTATTGTATTTCAAAATGCGTTCTGTCATTTATAGTTTCTCATTCTTTCTTCTATATATAATATTTTATGCATCAGAATAAGTAACTTTATTATAATAAAACATTATCTATGATAAGGATTTTGGATTCTATACGCCCTGGGTGGCGGTAGTAAGATTTTAAATTTTTGAAGCGCCACAATAGTGCGTTTAGCTACTCAAAATCCCTCAAAATGAATTGTTTTATTATATTGTATCCAGTGTTTAAACTTCTACTTAAATATTTATTATATTTCTCATATGTATTTTATGTCTGGTCTAAATCTATGTCGACTCTAAAAAAACAGTTGTGATG